CCTTACGTGACGACGTTTCGGTCCGTCCTGGACCCTTACGTGACGACGTTTCGGTCCGTCCTGGACCCCTTACGTGACGACGTTTCGGTCCGTCCTGGACCCCTTACGTGACGACGTTTCGGTCCGTCCTGGACCCTTTACGTGACAATTTGATTGTTGCCGCCGAAGGCTGCTAGTTTATTGTGTACCCCATACTCATCCTGTGAGCGGTAGCCCAAAAGCATTACAGAGGGCACAAAATATCTTTATCAGACCTCATTTTAGATTATTACATAAACAATTTCATCTATCCTTCACGCCTTATAGTTACAATGCCAGCTAGTCACAGAGAAAGTGCTATTTCAAGAGGTATATATATTTACAGTAAGTCCTCATACATTAATGGTAGGTCTTATCGCTAATACATAATAGTTTGACCAATGGGGACATTACAGAGTCATAGGGAGCTTCTGTTTATTATTAGTCCTCACAATACACTACTTGTTTCTGAATCTCATATGTCGTTCATCTACTGGAAGCGAAATATGGATACAGTGCAAGGATTTCAGGTAATTTATCCATGGTAATAAGATAGGTTGCCATATCATACAGAGTGAGCTTAGATTTATCTCTAAATGGCTCAATTTTACTACAATCCTAGATATAGTGTTCGAGTGTGTGTCCCTGTCTTTGTCCACTCACTTTACACTTTACTTCATCCAGATCCCTATACAAGCCGAATTGCCAGAGATACTTGTAGCCAAGTCTTATACGAGCTGTGACAACATCTGTTAGTCTACTGACTTACGTGATGACGTTTCGGTCCGTCCTGGACCCTTACGTGACGACGTTTCGGTCCGTCCTGGACCCTTACGTGATGACGTTTCGGTCCGTCCTGGACCCTTACGTGACGACGTTTCGGTCCGTCCTGGACCCTTACGTGATGACGTTTCGGTCCGTCCTGGACCCTTACGTGACGACGTTTCGGTCCGTCCTGGACCCTTACGTGACGACGTTTCGGTCCGTCCTGGACCCTTACGTGACGACGTTTCGGTCCGTCCTGGACCCTTACGTGACGACGTTTCGGTCCGTCCTGGACCCTTACGTGACGACGTTTCGGTCCGTCCTGGACCCTTACGTGACGACGTTTCGGTCCGTCCTGGACCCTTACGTGACGACGTTTCGGTCCGTCCTGGACCCTTACGTGACGACGTTTCGGTCCGTCCTGGACCCTTACGTGACGACGTTTCGGTCCGTCCTGGACCCTTACGTGACGACGTTTCGGTCCGTCCTGGACCCATTGATATATCACACCATTGTGAGTTCTTTGTGTTCTTTGTTTTATATATATATATTTTTTTAATTTGCTGAAATAAAAAAAAACATATATGTCAAAAAGTTTTTTACTACTGCTTCAAAGATGGCACCAAAGACTGCATAGCCTTAGCTAAGACTTGGTTGAAGCATCGTGCCCTTGTAAGACTGGTTGGCCTCACCACAGCACACTCTTTATTACACTCTTTTGTTCTCCCTTCCCAATTGTTCTGTTTAGAATTCTTGAGTTGTCTCAAAGTCATTTGCAACAACTAAGACTCGTTCACCGCGACTCTCTCTCTAATTTACCAGCTTATATAATGAAGAAATGCCTGTTTTTCTAATGAAGACGTTTCATACTGTTATTTATTTATATACAAGAAGTTACAATGCGTTGTGAAATAATAATTAATAATTCATTGTGTCGGGGGACAGGAAGCCAGAGTGTATTCATATACGTTTTGGCTTTTATCATGGTCCTCCCCCCACCCCAAACGCCGAATTACTGACCCCGCCCAGGATGCAACCCCACAACAAGCTGACTAACTCCTGGGTACCTACTCACTGCTAGGCGAACAGAGGCATTAGGTGAAAGGAAATGTGCCGAACCATTTCTGTCCCACCAGGGAGTCGACCTCGAATTCAATGCTTGTGCGTCAAGAACGAACCCGACTGTACTACCGCGAATATATATTGGTGATTAAGCGGTATTATTAATTAATTAATTAATTAAGCGGTATTAATTAATCATGCCCGAAACGCTTTGCGTAATAGTGGCTTTAGGCATTGTATGTACTAGCTATACCTATAAGTTAAACAATCCTTGTAAATATTTATTGTATGTATGTACCTTACCTAAATAAAATTGTATTGTATTGTAAAATTGTATTGTATTGTATATTCTTACAAAGACACGACATGAGTTTCGGATAGGCCATGTTTTTTCATACGAAGGAAGCCCTGTTTTTCTAACGAAGAAAACACCTTTCTTTAATTAAACAGACCCGTGGCTCTGTGTACTGTATCGCTCTGCAGCTCATCGTTGACAGAACTGCGTGAAACAAGAAATCACGCCAGAAAACTAAATGAAACAATGAACTCATAATCTTTCCCCCCTTGGTTAGCGTGTGATTGAGCTTGACTCTTAGACCTATTGTCTTGTGTATGACTCTCTGTCCTACGTGACAGTGAATACCAGCATTATCCTCACTCTAATAACGCCTAATTGAATACCTCAGATTAGGCAAAATTGTAATTAATTTTTATCAGTAAAGATGCTAATAATAACAAAAACTCTCTGATACCTTCTAACATTGTACATTATTGTTGCATTCTCTACTCGCCGGTTACTTATATGGAAATACAAACATTAACATAGTAAAGCAACAATCCAGATTAGCGCTGGACCTCCCTATTAAGGCATATATATATATATATATATATATATATATATATATATATATATATATATATATATATATATATATATTAACATATATATAATAATTATATATTTTATATTAATATATATAATATATAATATATATAAACATTAATATATAATATTAATGTTTCAAGTCTGTGAGTTCAACGTGAACATCTGAAAACTTTTCAACTGGTCGGAACACACCAGCTGGTGTGTTAGGTACCATTGGACACGTACTTAATTGTCCAGGACAATTGCTCCGTACCTAATTGTCCAGGACAATTCCTCCTGGTGGGAGCTTCAAGAGCACCTAATGACATCCTGGGGAGGATGGTGTTAAGCAATTGCCTAACTCCCAGGTACCTATTTACTACTAGCTGAACAGCGGCATTAGGTGAAAAGAAACGTGCCTAGCGACTTCTGTTCCGCCCGGGTACTAAGTTTCAACTCAATCATCAAACAATAGCCATCCCCTTTAAGAAAACATTGAAGATGAATCTAACTTTGTTTCACAAGCTCACGTGTCTGCATCAGACTGGTCAAAGGGGCAGGTAATAATAATAATAATAATAATAATAATAATAATAATAATAATAATAATAATAATAATAATACGGTACAATGGGTTGGTGAGATTACATAAGATTGGTAATTTTACATTCATGTAAAGCTACTAACACGCATAGCGTTTTAGGCAGTATTGGGCAGGTGCTGGAAGTAACTTGTCAACTTGTTTGATACAGTGAACCCAGAACCATTTTAAATATCAACCCGTCCTCAGACCAAGTCCATTCTATCCAGCGGTCGACTCCAAAGACGCATTCATCAATTTTAACATGCTGTTGATTCATAAATGGAATTTTCTCAAATGTGAATTAATATTGCTATATTTTAGCATATTGAGCATATTTAGGCACTGGTTAGCTTAGGTTAGGTGTTTAGGTTCTGTTGGCTAATATTTGTATTTGTAGTACGTGGGTGAAACATTTACAGCTTTGTGGTTCGAACAAAATTCGTCAGTGAAGCACTTGTTCCGGAAGTGTTCTAAGGAAATCAATTGTGAGTCGTGTGTAAACCGTTTTGCATTCATAAACAGGGGGTTTGGCGGGCGCATGGAATGGAGTTTGGCCTTTGTTTAGAGGACGGTCTGTATATATTGTGCCAGTCTGGTCAGCCTCGAGCGTCAGTGCCTGTTGTTTCGTCAGCATCAAGCGTCAGCGTTAAGCTAAGCGCACATATTCCAAAAGGTACGTCAAGAATGTGTAGCCGTCAGATACTCCTGAAACCCCTACAGGCACAGCGTCTTGTGGTTATCTTGAGGTTATCTTGAGATGATTTCGGGGCTTTTTAGTGTCCCCGCGGCCCGGTCCTCGACCAGGCCTCCACCCCCAGGAAGCAGCCCGTGACAGCTGACTAATACCCAGGTACCTATTTTACTGCTAGGTAACAGGGGCATAGGGTGAAAGAAACGCTGCCCATTGTTTCTCGCCGGCGCCTGGGATCGAACCCAGGACCACAGGATCACAAGTCCAGCGTGCTGTCCGCTCGGGCGACCGGCTCCTGGTGGCCAGTGTGCCGGGGTAGTTCCCACGGAACATGCTCTAACTAGCCTGGATATATGTATAAACATTTCCACAGGTTCATGTAACATGTGAACCTGGTCACACACACATACCACGCCATGTGAAACTGCCCCGTTGCCATCACCGGGTCCCGCCCCCTCGACGGTCATCACACAGTACTTAACTAATCTGTTAACGTGTTCTGGACACGTTTGTTGGCACAGGATGGAGAGGGTGTTGAGAGGTCACGCTGATAACATGAGACTCGTGCCGTTGAGCAAAGGCTGCAAGAAATTCTCACCTTTCTCACCTTGTGTGTTGTGAGCTTCGTGTTTCGACGGTAACATTGTGTTCACTTGGCGAGCTCCCCGCCTTGGTATCTGCATGCATAGTATTGGTTATTGAACGACTGCGTCTTGCATTACAAAGAAAACATTTCCTCTCTCCAAAGCATTGCATATTATTGCCAAATATAATCATTTCATTTCTGTCAAGTTGTTTGGAAAGCTCAAAGGAAATTTCAAATCCAGAAAAATGCCTTCATGCATAACAAACATGAGGGTAAAAGTTTAGCAGCTTTTTCCATTTTGGAAAAACAAAAAGTTTGATGATAGTGAAACAATTTTCATTTGTAGCCTAAGATGGCGCCACGCGAAGGTGATCAGGGGGCGGAGCTATGGCGATAATTAAGTCACCTCCGTTATAACTGGAGGAGCGCGATCACCCTAGTTTAGTTTGATTACGGCTGTTACGAGGCTGACGGGGACCTGTGAGTGCCCGAGTGTTTGTCACAGTAGATCCTGCTCCAGCACACACAGCAGCACTGGAGAGCAAGGTTACCCTCGAGGAGCTACCAGGCATCCACGTCACCATGGATCTCAACCATATCGCGGATAAAGAACATTACACCAGTGACTTTGGGAATTATACCTACAATCTGCGGCCAGACTTTCCGCTAGGTAACCTACCTTCTCAAGTTTGTACTTAAAGTGTATGGGTTTTTTAGGGAAAATCTGTAAATATAGCATTGAAGTTTCCTTCCAGCATAGGCAAATTTTCAATCAACTTAACAACAATTATGTTGAGGAGTTTAACATTGAGGAAACTAGTAGATTTGTTATTATTGTGTCCAGTACTGGTCCAACCCTGATGCTGGAATATATATTTTATCAACTTTCCAGGATTTCGTAATTTATCTACTTTTTTAGATAATACTTTCATAGCTATGCGAGGGCCAATAAATAATTCTCAAATTATAATATACTCGTAGAAACGCTAGAATTGGACCTAATTATAATAATAATGGGCTTTGTTGGGGATAGGAAGCTTGGGTATGTACACATATATATATCTTAGGCTATAGAAGGTGGTTGGAGAAGAAAAATATGTGAGTGTACGCGGTTGCCCCACAAGGCTTCCCCGGATGCTGCATATCGTCTTCTTTAAGGTCGAGGGTCCCTACAAGCGCAACCAGAGGTGGTACCCCCTTATATATATTTTTACTATCTTAGGCTTATATCGAGTTTCCTCAAGGTCGAGCCACTGACCTTTCCCAGGATGCAGCCCACAACAGTTGTCTTGCTCGAAGGGGGTACCTATTTACTCTCAGGTGAACACACGCATTACGTTAATGGAAACGTGTCCAAACATTTCTGTCCCGCCCGGTAATCGAACTCGGGATCCCCGATCCTAAGTCTACAACAAAGTCAACTGTACTATCTGGTTATAGATTCTTGTACTGTGATATCAGTTAATGTATTCTGGACGTGTAATGACATATCCAGTTTATAGCGTCCTTCGCCCCAATACATGTACTGTACAATTAAGGGTGAAATCTTGCGGATTTTACGTACTATTGTACAAAAATTCTGTACTTATATTTTTAACTACAATTTACTAAACTTGCACTTTCTTATACTGATGTACTACTGAACTAAAAGTGTGCAGCGGAGGCCTCGCCGCTTGCAAGGTAGGCGTTCGACCCCGCTGGTCAAAGTGGTTGGGCACCGTGCATTCACTCCATCCACATATCCTATCACACTCTTATTCTCGTATCTAATAAACATATATGATACCGCAGAAGGCTTATTAGCCCTGTGAGGCAGCTCCTATCTATCCCCCAAACACACCTATTCGCCTATGTTTACCCTTAGCCTGAAACCACCCAGCTATTCCACATGCATCTTCCACTGTAATTTGTTCCACAAATCAACAACCCTACTGTATTTCCCTAGTGAATCTAAACTTACCCTATTTGTATCCCCCTGTGTCGTGTCTATTTTCTGCTAATATATTTAACACTCTTCTAATATTCTTTTTCTAAGTTTACTGTCATTTACTTATATACTTTAGTCATACCACTCATTACTTTTTGCCTTTAAGTATTGATAAAGTTTTCCCAATATCTTCGTAAGTGAGGATTCTAATTCCTGGGATCAACTAAACTCTGAACATGTTATAGGGAATTGTTTTGTTCTCTAGCACGGTGACAGAAACTCAACTGCAGAATGTAACTTGGGGAGTCTATTAAGGGCAAGATAAACTGAAGAATAACATTATATTGAGCAAACCACACACTAGAAATTGAAGAGACGACGACGTTCCGGTCCGCCCTGGTCCATTGTGGATTCTTAATAATGGTCCAGAACGGACCGAAACGGCGTCGTCTCTTCAATTTCTAGTGTGTGGTTTGGTCCACATTTTTCAGTCACGTTATTGTGACTCTTGGTGTTGGGTTTAAGGCATGTCAACCGTGAGTGGGTTATTAAGGCCACCACAATACCTTACTGACCAACCAGCAAGAAGTCTTCCGTCCTGAAACTCAGTGAGAATCAGGGATCACCTCCTTGGTGTACATATTACTGGCAGCTTAGAATTTTGGTTTGGTGTTGCCCGTTGTGCCTATGAACCATCTTAGGATTATTATGGCAGCACAAGTGCTTACTGACGAACCAGTAAGAATAATTTGGTTTCGGACATAGTTCAAAGCAAGAGAACTATATATATATATATATATATATATATATATATATATATATATATATATATATATATATATATATATATATATATATATATATATATATATATATAGTTCAGTGTATGCTCTCACTGTGCTTCAGTGTTCAGTGCTTCTCTCAGTGTATATACACCGAGAAGCCACGTATACCTCTCAGTATATACGTGTTAAATGTCTTATAACTAACGCTTCTAGATATGAATACCTGTATATGATTGACCTTCTTTCACACATTTATATGTTTTGGCGTAACATTCATACTAATCATGACTCTCATATCATTTTTGCTTTGAGATTTGACAATTTTAACATTGTCCAGCTGATACCTGGTAAATGTTAAGCATTGCTTAGGCTCGGAGCCCTACATTTGTCAGCATTAAACTGCAGCGGATGAAAAGGTTTCACACCAAAAGGTGGTTTGTTGTGCACCCCATACTCATCCTGGGAGTGGTGGTTTGTTGTGCACCCCATACTCATCCTGGGAGTGGTGGTTTGTTGTGCACCCCATACTCATCCTGGGAGTGGTGGTTTGTTGTGCACCCCATACTCACCCTGGGAGTGGTGGTTTGTTGTGCACCCCATACTCACCCTGGGAGTGGTGGTTTGTTGTGCACCCCATACTCACCCTGGGAGTGGTGGTTTGTTGTGCACCCCATACTCATCCTGGGAGTGGTGGTTTGTTGTGCACCCCATACTCATCCTGGGAGTGGTGGTTTGTTGTGCACCCCATACAAGGGGCCTGGCAGTTGAGTGTACAGCGCTTCGGATTCGTAGTCCTGAGGTTCCGGGTTCGATCCCCGGTGGAGGCGGAAACAAAATGGGCAGAGTTTCTTTCACCGAGATGCACCTGTTCACCTAGCAGTAAATAAGTACCTGGGAGTTAGACAGCTGCTACGGGCTGCTTCCTGGGGGTGTGTAACAAAAAGGGTGCCTGGTCAAGGACCGGGCCGCGGGGACGCTAAGCCTTGAAATCATCCGAAGATAACTCATCCTGTGAGCGGTAGTTTATTTTGCACCCCATACTCTTCCTGAATGGTGGTTTATTTTGCACCCATACTTATCCTGTGAGCGGTATTTTATTGTGCTCCCCATACTCATCCTGTGAGTGGTAGTTTATTGTGCACCCCATACTCATCCTGTGAGCGGTAGTTTATTGTGCACCTCATACTCATCCTGGGAGCGGTGGTTTACTGTGAACCCCATACTCATCCTGGGAGCGATAACGCAAAAAGGATAACAGAGTGCACAAAAGGTTGCAATCAAACCTGGAAGGGGTACTTTAACATTTACAATTTCACCTAATATGCGCACGTTATAATTATATTGAGAACTAAGAACACATTTTTGCGCTGCAACACCTGTGTGTCTACACTATACAGAGGACGAGTCACAATAACATGGATGGAGACATGATGACCAGACTACACACTAGAAGATGAGGAGACGACGACGTTTCGGCCCTTCAAGGACCATTATCTCGTTGATTGTGAAACGTCGAAGAAACGTCGCCGTCTCCTCGCTACGGTCTCGCTTCATACAGGTCGGCGTTCAATCCCTGACCGTCCAAGTGGTTGGGTATCATACCTTTCCCCCGTCCCATCCCAAATCCTTATCCTGATTGAATGATAAAGATTAAGCCACCCAAGAGGTGGCACGGGCATGAATAGCCCGTAAGACCTTATCCTGATCCCTTCCCAGTGCTATATAGTCGTAATGGCTTGGCGCTTTCCCCCCCCCCCCCTGATTACTCCCTCCCTCCCTCCCTCTGTAATTACCCGTTTTCTATGACTTGGTTGTGACTGAGAAAGGCAAGTTAGCAATAGCATTTTGGTATTCAAATGGAGTGTGATCAGAGTAGCCCACTTGACATGCGGGAGGAGAGTACGGGTGTGAGGGCGCCGGGGAAGGTGGCAGTCACCGGCCGTCACCGGAAACAACACTATTGCTAAAGCGTTGTCTCTATCAACATGTGCAGATTTACATGTTGATAGTTTCAGTGTTATGCAGTCGCGTTCGTTCTCGACTAACAATTGGGAATTTCGGGTTCGAATCCCGGGCAGGACAGAAATAGTTGGGCACATTTCCTACCACCTAATGCCTCTGTTCACCTAACGGTAAGTAGGTACCCGGGAGTTGGCCAGCTTGTTGTGGGGTTCCATCCTTGGGGGACCTCGACATTAGCCTAACATACACAGGCTGCCTGTCCCAGAAAAAATGAATTATGAATCTCAGACTACCTCAATAACAGCAATGTTGACGCTGCAAGAGCACGCGACAGGATACCTTTGTCTCCAGGTTAAAAACAAATGAGAACGCGTTAGTTACTTCAGTCTACCTCTATAGTCAATAACCGTTTTCTATGTCTCAGTCTAATGTTTACTTATATGACCGATTTTTATAAAAAGAACAAACCGGTGTGTTGGTTTAGGAGTAGTACTGCTGGACTTGGACGAGAAGGAGGTTCCTCGCATCGCCACTCGGGTAGTGGATAAGCTCATCTCCTACGACCAGGTGCCCATCGACCAGCGTGAGGCCGTTATACGCATCCTCTTGCACAAACACAATTCCTCCCAGGAAACAAGCAGGTAGGCTTCACTCTCCAATCCAACCTATATAGTCGTAATGACTTGTGGCGCTTTCCCCTGATAATTCCATTACTCCAATCCCACCCTCAGCTCAACCAGCTCTGCAATGTTTATTGAATTTGTTGAATTTCACTGCTTGCTAGATTTGTTAATATTTTTTTTTTTGTTTATCAAGCACCGAAGAAAAGCCAAATTTGGGTGGTCGGCGGCGTTCATCTGTTCGCAAGCTGCCAGTACCCAATAATTTCCCTCAGACCGATGGAGGCAACACTACCGATGAACCTAATGGTGTGGTGTCCAATGGCACAATCCCAAAGGACCTGAAAAGTTGCGCTCGTCACAACTCGTTCACTGAGGTAAGCAAGGTTCGTCAAGACTTCCTGTACCACTACCCGTTCCATGCTGGTTAGGTTAGGGTTGGTTAGTTCATTTATTATGCACCCCATACCCATCCTGTGGGCGGTAGTGGAAAGGGTTACAGAGGCACATAATGGGCTCAGGAACAGAACCCCACAATTCATTTATCTAAGCAAGTTAAGTCTTGATGAGCTAGTGACAAAATTAAATGCACATCGTCACATCAACAATGGAGTTAGCATTGCAAAAGCACTTCACTTACCTTGTGGCACTTACCTTGTGGCTGAGTGGGCAATAGCAGTGTACTGTACGTTGTCAAACGGATTTTCTAGCCCCTGGAGGAGAGAAGAAAACGTGTATGTGTTAGTTAGCATTTTAGCATTGCATAAATGAATGACCACGTCTAGGTTGGGGAAAAAATTTTTTAGTTAAGGTTGCTCAACAACTGTACACTTTCTGGCTCACCAAGACAAAGTTTTGGTCATACGTCCTGTTAGCGGACCAGCCAGAGGATCAGGGACAGCGCAGGAACATTGCTGGAAAACAAAATACATATCCTACACCACTACGAGTGCTAGACTCGAGGGTGAAAAAGCTAACTTTTACTACTAGTAATAACAGTTTCTGTTCATAAAGTTGTGTGCACTGATAGGGCAAGTCAGTGGCGTGTTAGCACTAATTGACACACCCTAGGAACACTCCAATAAGCAGTGGTTGTGTCTGCGGGCCGCTGTAAGGTACACCCTAGGAACACTCCAATAAGCAGTGGTTGTGTCTGCGGGCCGCTGTAAGGAACACCCTAGGAACACTCCAATGAGCAGTGGTTGTGTCTGCGGGGCCGCTGTAAGGAACACCCTAGGAACACTCCAATAAGCAGTGGTTGTGTCTGCGGGGCCGCTGTAAGGAACACCCTAGGAACACTCCAATAAGCAGTGGTTGTGTCTGCGGGGCCGCTGTAAGGAACACCCTAGGAACACTCCAATAAGCAGTGGTTGTGTCTGCGGGCCGCTGTAAGGAACACCCTAGGAACACTCCAATAAGCAGTGGTTGTGTCTGCGGGCCGCTGTAAGGAACACCCTAGGAACACTCCAATAAGCAGTGGTTGTGTCTGCGGGGCCGCTGTAAGGTACACCCTAGGAACACTCCAATAAGCAGTGGTTGTGTCTGCGGGCCGCTGTAAGGAACAATCTGGCTGAGCAGGTTATTACTAAACAAACCTGGCCCCAGGCTGGCCTTGACAAGAAAAAGAAATCTTGAAACTAACTACAGGAAAAATTCATACAATTCCTTATATTTAACTATGTTAACTTCACAACGCACTAGAATGATTTTGTCAAAGCTTATTTCAATACTAGATTTTCTGGTCATGCAGCACTAGCTAAAACCGAAGGCATTTGAATGTATTGAAGATCTTCAGACAACTCCGTTTACATTGTCAGTGTTGATATTTCAAAGGGCCATCATATCCTTTAATAGGCAAACCCTTTGGCTACTCTTAGATCCTATGGTACGACAATGTACAATGTCATGTTGATCCTAAGTTCCTTCATTATAGTCAGGATCTTCGTCTGGTCACTAGAGCGATGGCTTCCTATTTTCCGGCTTGAATTCCAATCCCCGAGGATTGAAGCGAATCAAACGTTATTACCCACGATATTATAGACTAATTTATAATATATATAACTCACAAATCATAGTTAACAAACAACAAAGAGCTCAACCCCTGTGAAGGACTCGAACCTTGGGAGGCCAGGTGTTCGCGCACCGTTGACACAGCCAGTGCTCTAGACCCCTACACCACGGCAGATCATTAAGAGACTGAGAGTCGGGGGGCATTTACCCAACCTACATATATATATATATATATATATATATATATATATATATATATATATATATATATATATATATATATATATATATATATATATATATATATATATATATATATATATATATATATATATATATATATATATATATAAGATTCACAAGAGAACAGCGTGCCAGGCTCACATAAAAAAAACCCTATAACGATTTCTGGCACTCATCCCCCCCCCTACCCCGACTACCCAGCTAAATATTACAAAAAGAAACAAACGTATAGCAATATACATTATTCGCTGATCTGATCTCGGGTAAAATAGCATTAATTTCCAACTATCCATAATTTACCTGTACCTGTGGAGGTTTCGCGAGATATGCTTCATTCTCAGAGTAAATGGGTAGCTTTTCTATTTTTAATAGTTCACTTTTTCTATTTTTTAGTAGTTCTATTTTTTAGTTTAGCTTTCTCCTAATAGTTTCGTTTCGTTTCTCTCTTTCCGGCAAACACCCACACATTAGAAACTATATTTTTGTATGAGACAGGCAGAGACAGAAAGGCACAGAGATAGATGGATGAATAGATCGATGGATGGGTAGATACGTGGATGGAACGATGGATAGTTAGATGGATGGAACGTTGGAAACAGAGATGAATGAATGGACAGAGGCCTTCATGGATGGATGGACTGATGGATTGAAGAATAGGTAGCTGGATATACGGATAGATTGATGGATGGATATACAGATAGATAAATGGAAGGATATATGGATAGATAGATGGATGGATATACAGATAGATAAATGGAAGGATATACGAATAGATAGATGGATGGATATACAGATAGATAAATGGAAGGATATACGGATAGATAGATGGATGGATATACAGATAGATAAATGGAAGGATATACGGATAGATAGATGGATGGATATACAGATAAATAGATGGATGGATATACGAGTAGGTAGATGGGTAGATAAATGAGCAGAAAGGTGGATAGATGGATACAAAGCTGGGTAAATGGATGAATAGATGAATATATAGACGGACAGATGAACGAATGGATGGGTAGATGCACAAATAGATTGATAGATAGATGGTTATCTATTTGTTCATCCATCTGGCCTATCACGGAGGAGGATAAGCCAGGTGAATGAAATGTCAAGTACAACATTTTATATTTATATACGAGGATAAATCCTCAAAATATGTACCGAGTATGTCATTAAGGTTCTCCTACAAGCATCCATTAAGATATAATAAAATGATATACATTTCATTTCTAAATTGATCTTTTGTATGAAATAATATTCTTACCAATAAGACAAATATTGTTTCTTATACCTTCTTTGTCAGATCGAAATAGATGAGAATGTGTTGTTCAAGAATAAGGAGGCCAAGAAGAAGAGTGTGTCCGAGGGCGGGGAGATGACAGCGGTGATGGCTGGTGGCGTGAGCTTCCTTGAGAGCCCCATCCTCGCCTTCGTCAGGCTGTCTGAAGGCGTCGTGCTACAGGATCTTATAGAAGTTAGCTATTATCAACACGCATTCTCACTCATTGGCCCCACTAAAAAAAATGTATTTTGATTGACTTTTGATGTAAAATTACACGTGGAAACATGTTCTGTACCTGATTGAAATGATTCCCCTTCTCCAGGTTTCCATGCCTGTAAGGTTCATATTTGTCCTCCTTGGACCCTTCCACGACGAGAAGGACTACCACGAGATTGGTCATTCCATCTCCACCCTGATGGCCAGTAAGGTGTTCCGCGAGGCAGCGTACACGGCCAACACCCGGGATAAAATACTTATAGCAGCTAATGAGGTTTTACCTCCTGTCTCGTGGACAGCAAACATGAATGGCATGGATGTCGCTCAGATCATGAAGAAGAGAGAGAGCATCATGATGAAGAGCGCTCAGTGTGAAGAAGGTAGTGCTTAGATTTGATATTACAGCTGTAATGTCTTAACAAAGTGAAAAAATTGTGCTTTATTGAGGATAAATGTTCATGTATTTATTTGATTAAAATCTACAGCTTTTCAACAGGTCAAAGCCCTTTAACGACTGGGTTCGTATGTTTCCCGTTGGACTAGAAGGTTCTATTTTTTACGGAGTGGAATCGAGAGAACACGGGCTGTTTCATCAGCCAGTTCATCAAGCTATATCAACATGACAAGTCACCCAGTAAAAATCCATATATTTGTGTTTTCTAAAACTTAGATACAAGCAATATCTGAGTTTTTAACTGAAGTTAAAGAGATGCAGTAGCCAGTAGCTTGTGGAGTTCCCCAACAATATCAAATAGCTTAATATAATACACACACAGAAATCACAATTTCTGTTCATTGACTATGGCGCAGCTGGGAACATCCCGTGTGTAGGTTCGAACCCTCATCACGGCCCTTGTGGATTTGTTCAGCTTAATATAAACTCTGTAAGAGCACATCAAACTACAAATAAATCAGCAGTAAAAATGCTTATTTCCGATAAGAGGTGGCATATTAATGGCGAGTTGCAGTTGAAGGGTCACAGTTGCAGATTTTAAAGTAACAGTACAAATGGCAAGAGAACGGGAATGCTGACTGAAATGCTCCAGAGTCTGGACCCCCCATGGTAGAATGTACGGAATTATACTCTGGAATATATTACCAACATTAAGTAAAAGAGATTCAAGAATAGTTGTATTCTAATATCAAATGGTTTTGAAATACTGTTTTGGGAAGTTGGACACACTGACACGAGGTAAACGGTGTGAGTGAGGGTCGGCGGAGGTGTTGTGCAAACTACCAAAATCTGTCATAGTGGAATAAAACTCCAGCTTCAACATAGAGGCTATGAACAGGGGAAAAAGCAGAGAGCATCTGAACAAGAGTTCATGATGCTCATGGCGTCGGAGTCGGCCGACGCTTAATCGAACTTTTAAGAGCACCCCAAGAGGTGGGTGACAATACCCTTCATTAAGTAGGAGCTGTAGTGTATTCCACGAGTTGCCCGGGGTGACACGGTATATATCCTATTAAACGTCATAGCATAGGTTTGGATAGTCAAAAACTTTACACCATAGCCGAGTGACGTTCACATTAGGCGTAACCAAAATTGAATTCAATTTGATGTGCACTTAATTTGATGATAGTATTTCAGCATGAGAATTAGTTGTTGCACAGCAGATTTTCATGGTTGACTTGTCATTACAGCTGCAGCTGCAGCCGCAGCAGCAATGGCGGCAGCTTCTCCGGGAGAGGGCGATGACGGAGACAAGAAACCTCCAACACGAGACCCTCTTATTCGTATAGGGAAGCCTTTCTATGGCTTGTACCTGGACATACGGGACCGCTACCCCAAGTACCCCTCCGACATTATAGACGGCTTCAGCGGACAGGTGGCGGCGGCAACCATCTTCATCTTCTTTGCTGCCCTCTCACCCGCCATCACCTTTGGTGGCATGTATGGTAACACATCACCTACATTTAAACTCTCTTATGAATTTGTGAAGAACATATGAAGAGAGACTAACAAAACAATTTATACTCTAGAAAGTTTAGACTTAGAGGGAGCATCATTTTAGAGCAACTTACAAATGAATTAAATGGTAAATTTAACAGACATCTCAAAAAGGATATTCTATGAGGTGCTTAACTGTTGGCTGAACAAATTACAAACTAATAACTGGAGGTTGTGAACCCAAATTGTACGCTAATATCTGGCTAGACAAGATAATGCAGTTGTCAAATGTGAGCAAGTAACACAAATTTTGGATTAGGATGAAACGAAAAACAAGTGTCAAGATGGGTGGGATTGGCATGGTCAATTAGCTGAACATATGTATATTTCAACCCAATCAACCATTTGGAGTGGACGGTAGAGCGACAGTTTCCCTTCATGCAGGTTGGCGTTCAATCCCCCACCATTCAAGTGGTTGGGCACCATTCCTTCCCCCGTCCCATCCCAAATCCTTATCAAGATCCCTTCCATGTGCTGTATAGTCGTAAAGACGCTTTCCTCCCTGATAATTCCTTCCCTTCCCGATCATTTTTCAACATTCAGTAATTAATAACACATCTGTTATGGTAATCTTATTTATATGTACATTAGGGGAATATTTAGCAAAAACGTTTTGTTAAACAATGTTTACTTGTATTTTCATGTCAAATCTTATCTTTCAGGTGACATGATGGATAACTACATTGGAGTCGGAGAATGTCTCCTCATGTCTTCTGTGAATGGCGCCATCTTTGCCCTTTTTGCCGCGCAGCCCTTGCTTATTGTGGGCGCGACGGGTCCTCTCATGGTCTTTGACATGAGTCTCTACCAAGTGAGTATTTGTGTGTGTTAGTATTAGGCTCTTACTCCATGCCCAACACTTCTCCAGCTCCGGGTAATGTTTACGTTCCTTGAGACTAACTACCCATAAGCTGTTAAATTGACATTTAAGGAATCCCAATCTATACAGAGTAAGGATATATCGTCTGAGAGAACGGTAATAAACGCTAAGGTTATGATGTTCGTGTAATCTACGGCCAACCACAAGTCGGTATTCGTTAATTGTTACATAATGTAAAATTAAAATTGTATTTTCTCGAAAATAAATTAAAATTATAACTGCATGTACAGATAGGCCTATGGCGTGTTTTGGTTCTGCTGTCAATTATTTGAGTTTCCGCACATTTTATTGTCCTCTATACGCACATTTGCCCTCACAGTCAGAATGCATTGAACTGATAGTAAAATGTATTCAATTATTATTATTTGCCTTATAACTAAATGTATTCGGAAACGGTAAAACATATATAGTCTTTGTGTCTAGTTCGCCAAGACGAATGAACTTGATTTCCTGGCCATGAGAGTGTGGATTGGCTTGTGGATGACTATTATTGGCCTGCTGGTCTCCGCAACTGAGGCTGTCGCCCTGGTGAGGAAGTTCACCAGGTTCACCGAGGAGATCTTCGCCACGCTGGTCTGTCTCATCTTCATCTATGAAGCCGTCTCCAAGACGGCAGGCATCTTCGTGTCTCACCCGCTTCTTGAGGAGTACGGGTGTGGCGATGACATCCTTCCTTCGCCATTGACAACGTAAGTCTTCTTACTTTTCTCTTATTAAAAAAAATGGGTTATTCCTACACAATAGACACAATAATGGATATAAATGTTGACTTTAATTGACCGGTGCAAAGCTACCGTTCGTGTAGAGATTCTAAATGAATGATATAAGCATGTGTTCTCATTTAGAAAGCTGTATTGATCATGTGTAATTTTTTACCAATATTTTTCTAACTGTTGGAACAGCAGATACCACTCAATAATTGGTTATTAGTTGTGGATCTTTGATAAGATGAAAAGACGTGATAATGCGTAGACTGGCATGGGGAAAATTCGAGAAAACCCAGGGGACGTAGACCGGCTCTGGAAAAAAATCGTAAAACCGGGGGTGCGTAGACCGGCATGGGGAAAAAACAAAATTGCCGGTCTACGTCTCGTTTCCCACTACTCTGGAGCATGGTGCAGTGATACAGTCTGGAGCATGGTGCAGTGATACAGTCTGGAGCATGGTGCAGTGATACAGCCTGACGCATGGTACAGTGATACAGCCTGACGCATGCTGTAATGCAAGTATAGTGCATTGTGCAATTGCACCTTTATTTTCTCTCGTGGGACATTTCCCATAAAATTTTAGGAAACATATACAGTATATTGTATAGCATATATAACAAGACGCTGAACCCACACACCTCTGAAGGAAGAGGAAGTGACGACGTTTCGGTCCGTCCTGAGTCATTATCAAGTCGACTTGATAATTTTGAGAACCGGACAGAAACGTTGCCACAACCTTTAATTCCCGACGTGTGGGTTGGGAGTCCAATTTTTAGCCACGTTATTGTGACTTACAGTTTGCAATTTCAACTAATTTCGTTCCTAAATTGTACTTGTTCCAGTATGGACGACTTCATGAACGGTACAGAGATGAGCATCAATGGCACCGCCGAAGTCCTTCCTGTGAAAAAGAAGATAATCCCCCAGCCCAACACCGCCCTCCTCTCCCTCATCCTCATGCTGGGGACCTTTGTCATCGCCATTAAGCTCAAGTACTTCCGTAACTCCAAGTACTTAGGAAGAAGTGTGAGTTATACCTTGCATTCACCAATTAGAACTGGGAACCCACTCCGGCAACGTACTAACAAAATTACAAAATAAATTGCCAACAAAGAGGGGTTATGGGGGCGAGTAATAGGGGCTGGGGTTTAGCGGAAGGGTGGGCAGATGGGAGGAAAGAGAGCGAGAGGAATGGGAGAGGGGGAGCAGGAAGAGTGGGGATATGGGGGAGAGGGGAAAAGAAGAGGGGTGTAATTGGGTTTGGTTGGGGAGAGACAGATTACCTCGGGCTCTACGATGTACCCCTCTAGGAACATTTGTATATGTCTTAAAGGATTATATACACGGACATAAGTAGCCCGTAACCCTCTTTAAGATTATTGTTGTTTTAAATTCAGCTACTCAGAACAAAACGTTTCAAGTAGCACGGGCTATGGTGATCCAGTAGGCCCCTTTTAAGATTGATTGATGAAGATTAATCCACCCAAAAGGTGGCACGGGCATGAATAGCCCGTAAGTGGTGGCCCTTTTGAGCTATTACCAGTATCAAGAGCTGATACTGGAGATCTGTGGAGGTGCGAATGCACCCTGCATGACGGGAGATGTGTCCCTTGTGAATGTGTTAAGATGAAGATGAAGCCACCCAAAAGGTGGCACGGGCATGAATAGCTCGTAAGTGGTGGCCCTTTTGAGCCATCACCAGTATCAATAGATGATACTGGAGATCTGTGGAGGTGCGACTGCACCCTGCGTGGCGGGAGATGTCTCCCGTGGTGAAGAGGAGATTGATTGATGATTGATGAGAGGCACGGGCATGAATAGCCCGTAAGTGGTGGCCCTTTTGAGCCATTACCAGTATCAAGAGCTGATACTGGAGATCTGTGGAGGTGCGACTGCGCCCAGCGTGACGGGAGATGTCTCCCGGACCAAATGGTGACCAGATGGTGTGCCCTTTTAAGATGTGCTGGCATCTTAAGTACCCATCCCTCCTCCTCCTCCTCACCCCCTGCGAGTTTCGTGCAGTCACAAATAAAATCAGGGGTTGTGTTTTCCGTAAACGTTTAATGTTGTTGTTGTTGTTTATGATTCAGCTACTGGGAACAAAAAGTTCCAAGTAGCACGGGCTATGGTGAGCCCGTAGTGGACTTGCCTGACACAGGAGCGAGGCTGTAACTTGTCTTCTCCTGAACGCTTACTCCCGTCGTTTACCGGGATGGGAGGGGGTGAGACAGAGGAGAGATGGAAATAGGGAGGAGGCAACATTGGGTGAGAGGACAGGGAAAAAAAGAGGTGAAAGGGGGAAAGTTGGAGGAGAAATGTTGAGACGGGAGTTAGGGGAAGAGAGATGAGAGAGGGGTAGTCAGGAAGGCTGGGAGAGAGAGGTAAAGGGAAGAGAGGGGGGAGGGAGACTGGTGCAGCCGGTTACCCCCATCTAGTGTATCTTACCATTCTAAGTCTATCTATTCTTAAATTGTATTTTACCATTCTTTCACGTTTTTGTATGAATATTAGTCAGGTCTCAAATGCAACTGTCGTTCTGACATATTCACTGTTCCACAGGCACGCCGAGCTCTGGGAGACTTTGGTGTGCCCATCGCCATTGTTCTCATGGTGGCATTGGACTACGTCATCAAACACACGTACACCGACAAGCTGACAATGCCTGAAGGCATACAGCCCTCCAACCCTAAAATCCGCGGCTGGTTTATTAACCCGTTCGGGCAGGAGAAACCGCTTCCAGTGTGGTGCATGTTCGCTGGAGCCCCCGCCTCCATCCTCGTCTTCTTCCTCGTCTTCCTCGAAGAAAACATCTGCCAGTAAGTTGTGAATCTTGGATGTTTATAATGACAGACGAGGATTGTTTTGGAAGACACGTGCTTACAGCTACGTATCAATACATCAGATATCTCTAAATCCTAAAACAAATGGTGTGCTGAATGTGGCAACTGTAGGTCAGGAAACTATAAAAACTATACTGCAAACTATAGTACAAAACCAGTTTTGTATTATAGTTATGCAGACAATAAGTCACAATAACGTGGCTTGAAAATTAGACACCCAATCAACACGTCTGAAAGTGAAGGAAGTTACGACGTTTCGGTCCATCCTGGACCTTAATCACATGACTATAATTATCACATGACTTGTCCAGGTTGGACAGAAACGTCTTAACCGTCATTATTTTTAGATTTGTGGGTTCAGTGTCTATTATAGTTAAGTTAAACCTTCGGGCAGGGGTTATATATTCTGCATGTTGATAGTCTGAGCATCATCTTGTTGTACTTATATGTGCAAACCACAAGTGATTCGTTATTCTTTCCCTATAATCACAGGTATTTAGTCAGTGCTATTTTCTTGCTCTTTCCTCAGTCTGATTTTGAGCAAGCCAGAGCGGAAGCTGGTCAAAGGAACAGGTTTCCATTGGGATCTTTTGCTTTCGTGCTTCATCAACTTCCTCTCCGGCCTCCTGGGAGCTCCGTACATGGGCCCTGCCTGTGTTCGGACCGTGGCCCACGCCTCCGCCCTCACCGTCACAGCTCCAGGACCCAACCCTGGTGATCCGCCTCAGATTGCAGGTGTCAGAGGCACGTATTGGAATACAAGCACCACGTATATAAATATAATTCACAGGGACGTAGTGAGCAATACATCCGTATTGGCTCATTGTTATAAAACAGTGCTTCCACCTAGAGTACCTAGATATTGAACAATTCTTTCGTATATTGTAAATCACACACACACACAATTACCTAATTACACTTAGGTAATTACACACACATTACTTGCATCTAAGATTACCAATATGTTTTTTAAACCCTTATAGTTCATTCTAGCTACTCAGTCCAGTACCATTATGACTTTATTTCATATTTTGTCTTGGGTTTTGTTCCTGCCATGTAAAACAGTGATTTCCATTACCCCCATAAAACGTGTTTTCTTAATTGTTATTAATACGAGGAGGGGTACCCGGCGGTGCCCGGGGATGTCTCTCCCCCAACCCACATTCCACCCCCTCTTCTTTTCCCTCTCCTCCCTTCCCATCTTCCCAATTTTCCTACCCTCACTTCATCTCCCTACCCCCCGAACCTCAAACAAACAGACATTTCCATTTATTTATATAAAGAAGTACTCGGCTGTACCCGGGTCTCTTTCCCACTCTTTACCCCCATCTCCCCCTTGCCCTCATCCCCCTTGGTTGCCCCCCCCTTGCTTCACCCTCTCAGAAAATATATTCTTAAGAAGCATTATAACAGCTATATGGGTCTCAGGTTCCTCTTCGTGTCAATCTTTTTCCTTTGTCTTTTCTCTTATTTTCTTTTTATTCTCTTTACCCCTTTTTGTCCTCCCTCTCTTCCTCTCTCTTCCAACTCCCGCCTGCTTCCCCTTCTCTCACCAATTATTAGGAAGTACTGAAACTGTGTGTGTTGGCCTCTCTGAAAATATATTATTACCCTCGCTACAAACGCTACGGGAATCACACACATTTTAAAATTAACAATGAAAAATGTAATTAATATCGTCGAGCGGTGTCTAGAATTGTTAATATTTCATAAAGCATTTAACTTAGGCCTATCACGCCCAACCTATATCCATCCCGTACCCCCAGACCATTCCTCCCCCCCCCCCCCCCCTGAAAATTTGGCCTTGCCCAAGCGTTTGATCTCCAACATTAGATAGACAGAAGACAAACATTTGGATTAAAACAAACTTATAGATTAAAAAGTTTTCCCTGCATAACTTTGTACAAATTCTTTAGTCTGCCCACTAACTGCTGCGTTGCTTCCAATAACAGAACCTCTACCACGGGTTTTTAAATTTATTCAACCAATCAATTTTATTATTATTCCTTTTTTTATGTTTTTGTTAATATGCTGCATATTGATAACTTAATTACAATTTTAATTTTTTAAGTTTCCTCTAAATAGTTGATCAACTACATTCTATTATTTCCTATTAATATCCTCCAATTTCATGCCCAAAACTGTTTACTTACGTTTTCTTTAATTCATGAGCCGTTGTCGCTACTCTATTGTCAATTCACACGACCCTGATTTCTAGGAACAGAGGTGTATTATTTTTCTGGTATTTCTTCTCAGTCTCTTACTGCCCATCCCCGAGGATACACACACACACTATTGTGTGAAAGAGTTTAAACTAAGATCACCCTTTCAAATGTGATCCTCTTCTGCATTTTTGAAATAGTGAGTCGTGATATTCTTGTTCATTATATAATTGTTAATATTGAATTAACAATTATATAAATGTTGAACAAATCCACAAGGGCTGTGACGAGGGTATATATATATATATATATATATATATATATATATATATATATATATATATATATATATATATATATATATATATAATTCTTATATTATAAATTTAAGTATATATTTATCTTGTGTGGATAATTAAAAATATATTAACATCTTCCTTATGTACCATTCAAAATTACTAAAAATTAACTCTGTTAATTACAGAACAGAGAGTAAGCAGTCTCGTGGTATCCATTTTGGTAGGGTTGGCTGTCCTTCTCTCAGACGCCCTGAACCTGGTGCCAAAGGCAGTGTTGTTTGGTGTCTTCCTCTACATGGGTATTGCCTCCACTGCTGGCATTCATTTCCTGGAGAGGACCGTTCTCATGTTCATGCCAGTCAAGTATCACCCTGATATGCCTTACGTTAAGAAGGTAGGGAATTCATTTCACTGGTGATTTAAAAGTTTATACGGGAATTGTATGATATTCATATTGAAAGTGCAATTTTTAATATAGCCGTATGAATTCAGGGCTAGTGCATAATTAAATCATGTGTTTACCTTGCAGGTTCGCACACTGAAGATGCATATCTTCACCGTGATACAGTTGACGGCGCTGGGCGTGTGTTGGGGCGTGAAAGAGTCTCCAGCAGCCCTGGCTCTGCCCTTCGTCCTCATACTCCTCATCCCTATTAGGCTCTATCTTCTACCCTTCATTTTCACCAAACCCGAGCTCAGTGCTGTAAGTTAAATACATTATTCTGTAAGTTATGCAATCTGTAATAACATTAGAATAACCCGGATTATCCAGTTTGCTAGATCTTGAACAATTAGGTATAGGTTAAGTAATAATTGTAATTACGAAGCAATAAGATGCTTATCTGAAGATACTAACAAGGTTAGGTAAGGTCGGTGCTTTCTATGAATCTTTTTAAGGGTATCTATTATGTTTAGTATATCATCTATGCACGTAGTTAATAAGTCAATATTGACTTTACGAATTTGCGAGAACGGGTTGACAATTAGTTAACCAGCCCACACAGCTTATGCTAGAAACTTTCCAGCAAGTAAACGATTTTGTTACTGTGTTCGAACAGTTCTGCAACATTGGGTTGGTTAGTTGAGTGGGAAGTGACGCCTCAGATTGGAGTCATTGTTTAATGAAATTATGAAATCAACGAGGATTTGTTGTGTTGTAAAATTACGTCTACTCTGTGCCGAAGAATCTACGAAAGTTGAGTTAAATGAGGAGTCGACGTGACTAACTTGTGGGGCCAGAACGTACAGAGTTAGATGTACGATTCTGGCACGAAACTTCTCTGTATTTCTAAACCTTTTTTCACTTGGGAGTTAATTTTGTTAATTATGTACCCCATTCACATCCCGTGAGCGGTAGTGAAAAAGGTTAGGGGGGGGCAAATAATGGACTCAGAAACTGAACCTCCAATCCGAGAGAAAGTTGAACAATTCAAAGCAAATATTCACATTTAACCCAAAGTTACTTTAGTTACTTTAATGTCAGTCACCTCAACTGACGCATAAGAGAACACAGAATCACACTGTGACTGATGCCAACTGACAACTTTCATAAGAGAAAACTAAATAGAATTAAGTTCAGATTTGCATTTCTATAATTACTAAGAACTAGCATCGTATTTTATATGTACTGATTGATGAAGATTAAGACCCCAAGAGGTGGTACAGGCATAAATAGACCGTGCTATTCATGCCCGTATCCTATTTACTGCTAGGTAACAGGAGTAACAGGGTGAAAGAAACTCTGCCCATTTGTTTTTGCCTTCACCGGGGATCGAACCCGGAACCTCAGGACTACGAATCCGGAGCGATGTCCACTCAGTTGTCAGCCCCCACGAAAAAGAAAAAACGGCTTTTTGTTTCTTTCGAGACAATTTGCCTGGTGTTAAGAGTGCTCTTCACAAGCAAATTGGTGAACTGTATCTTTTGGTTAGTGTTGTAGAGGTTACGTTTCTATCGATTGTTTATTGACCGCCACCAAGATAATGATATTAAACAAACACTAAAACCAGTGCGCTAAAACAAACGAAACAGAAACAGGGGAAAAGAAGGAAACCCCACCTCCATTAAAAACTTTGACCCAAATATCACAGTAACAAAGTTACCGCGAATAACCGAACTCAATTACAAGCTCACTACAGCCCGTGCTACATGGACATTTCGTTCTGAGTATACATATATATACATATATATATATATATATATATATATATATATATATATATATATATATATATATATATATATATATATATATATATATATATATTAGTATATTTTGATAGCAGTCTTTCTTGTAAACATATATTATTAAATATGACCGAAAAAGTAAGATTAATAATTCTAACACGAATTTTCTCAATATTTCTTATGTTTCTTTTCACTGTCGATGGTAATTGAAAAATCAATTCTCCAAAATTCATTTTTATTTCTAGTCTGACGCGACACTTGAACGCGTTTCGTAATAACTTATTACATTTTCAAATAAATTTTCACATTTAGTTTACACACACACAACTATAACCTGCAAACACTAAACAGAGTTCTTCTATGCTATACTTTAAACAGCTTTCATCTTATATACCTGCATTTGGGTGAGGTGATATGTTACAACAGTTTTGGATGAGGTGAACAAAACTTTCAACACAAGACAGAACACGAAACAATGGGTATATATTGGGTAAATTAAAGGGAAGAATGGAAGTAACTGCAAAGGGCCTATTGGCCCATATTTCTTGATGCTTCTATATTGGTGCGGAGTCTTGAAGTGGGTAGAATATAGTTGGGCATTAATTGGCTGTTGATTGCTGGTGTTGACTTCTTCATGTGTAGTGCCTCGCAGATGTCAAGTCGCCTGCTATCGCTGTATCTATCGATGATTTCTGTGTTGTTTGCAAAGATTTCTCTGGTGATGGTCTGGTTGTGGGAAGAGATTTTATGTTCCTTAATGGAGCCCTGTTGCTTACGCATCGTTAATCGCCTGGAAAGAGATGTTGTTGTCTTGCCTATATACTGAGTTCTTTGAGGCTTACAGTCCCCAAGTGGGCATTTGAAGGCATAGACGACATTGGTCTCTTTTAAAGCGTTCTGCTTTGTGTCTGGAGAGTTTCGCATGAGTAGGTTGGCCGTTTTTTTGGTTTTATAGTAAATTGTCAATTGTATCTTCTGATTTTTGTCTGTAGGGATAACGTTCCTATCAACAATATCTTTCAGGACCCTTTCCTTCGTTTTATGAGCTGTGGAAAAGAAGTTCCTGTAAAATAGTCTGATAGGGGGTAAAGATGTTATGTTAGCTGTCTCTTCAGAGGTTGCATGGCGTTTCACCTTCCTTCTTATGATGTCTTCAACGAAACCATTGGAGAAGCCGTTGTTGACTAGGACCTGCCTTACCCTACAGAGTTCTTCGTCGACTTCATCCTGAGCTGTGGCTGAGAGCACGGTCGACATAAGCATTAACAACACTCTTCTTGTACCTGTCTGGGCAGTCACTGTTGGCATTGAGGCACATTCCTGTGTTTGTTTCCTTAGTGTAGACTGCAGTGTGGAAACCTCCGCTCCTTTCCATGACTGTTACATCGAGAAAGGGCAGCTTCCAATCCTTCTCCATCTCGCAAGTGAAGCGCAACACAGAATTCCGCTCAAATGCTTCTTTCAGCTCTTGCAGATGTCTGACATCAAGTACCTGTGTAAAAATGTCAACATACCTGCAGTATATGGCTGGTTTCAAGTTCATGTCGACTAAGACCTTCTGTTCGATGGTACCCATATTGAAGTTCGCAAACAGGACACCTAGGGGAGAACCCATGGCGACCCCATCTACTTGCTTATACATGTGCCCATCCGGGCTCAAGAAGGGTGCTTCTTTAGTACAAGCTAAGGAAACTACTCCAACTACAAAAGAGGATGGTAGCCGAGGCTAATTTTCCATCCCCCCGCCGGCATTCTGTTGGTAATCTTGGGCATAGTATTTTATCAACTCACCTCATTCTTTGGGGCACACGTGAGGAACACAAATGCGATCAACCCTGAACGGTCTCCAGGCATATATGCAACTGATTAAGGGATCCTGTACATCAGTTGCAATGCTTCTGGCAGTATGAGTTCGAGTCACTTCTGGGGTGTGAGTTTTCAGTTATATATATATATATATATATATATATATATATATATATATATATATATATATATATATATATATATATATATATATATATATATATATATATATATATATATATATATATATATATATATAATATATATATATATATATATATATATATATATATATATATATATATATATAATATATATATATTTTTTTTTTCCATTATTGTGTATTTAAAGGTTACAAAACATACAAGACAAATGCCTAAAGGTTATGGACCTATATAACCTAAAGGTATATATATATATATATATATAATATATATATATATATATATATATATATATATATATATATATATATATATATATATATATATATATATATATATATATATATATATATATATATATATATATATATATATATATATATATATATATATATATATATATATATATATATATATATATATATATATATATATATATATATATAGTCTGTCCTCATAATTCATGCCTCTTAGTTCTGGGACTAGCCTAGTGGCATACCTGTGAACTTTTTCCAACTTCCTCTTGTGCTTGACTAGATACGGGCTCCATGCTGGGGCTGCATACTCCAGGACTGGCCTTACATATGTGGTATACAAGGTTCTGAAGGATTCCTTACACAGGTTTCTGAAAGCAGTTCTGATGTTAGCCAGCCTCGCATAGGCCGCTAATGTTATTCTTTTGACGTGGGCTTCAGGAGACAGGTTTGGCGTGATATCAACTGTGTGTGTGTGTGTGTGTGTGTGTGTGTGTGTGTGTGTGTGTGTGTGTGTGTGTGTGTGTGTGTGTTACAAATTTTAACTTTGTTTTCATTTTTTCTTATCCAAAGCTCGATGGCACAGAAGCCATGAAGACCGACGATACTGATGAACCAGACTTTTATGAAGCTCAGCACGCGCTCCCGACAGACGCTGACCACGACCACCAGAGCTGAGGCACCGCGGGACGTGCTCGTCACCAGAGCTGAGGCAGAGCGGGACGTGCTCATCGCCAGAGCTGAGGCAGAGCGGGATGTGTTGATCGCCAGTGCTGAGGCAGAGCGGGACGTGTTGATCACTTTGCTTGCCCAGTCACTTACCCGTGTACTGCTGCCTCTGCTTTGTGTACATACCTTATAAACCCAAGTTTTAATTTTATGGTAGTGTCTACATTCAATTAACAACAAAATATCCAGTTGTGTACGAGGAAATTTAGATTAATTTTACACCATTTATGTAAGATCCAGTAAGTGGTAGCAATAATATTACGATTTACGGTTTCATAGTTTATTTTTACACTCCAGACGTGAGAGGTACAACCATGGCAACCCGTCCTCTTGAATAGTGCATCCCATTCTAACGTATAATGCCCCCCCCCCCCAAAGGCCAATAACTGATGTACTAAAAATTACCGAGGCTGGCAAAATTGACGTGATGTTCCGTTTTCTATTCGCGGGTCCTCTTGTTAAGTAAGGTTCGGCCAATTTAATACATCAGTTTAGTGACGTTGTGAATACTTGAGAGGACGGACTGCAACCCCCAAGTTAGAAAATGGCTGATCAACTTATCCATAGAAACAAATCTATATTCATATTTAAACAGACTTTGTTACAGTTTTACTTACATAAATCAAGCATTTGTTTGTTACTATTAATAGATCATTATTAGTGAGTATAGCGCTTTAGAACAAGAGTAATACTGGTATTACCACTTCACTTAGTCTTAAGTACTGTAAATACTCACGTGTGTCAATGATTTAGTGTGTACCTGATCTCACGAATTTCAATCTGGCTTAATATAAACAAATTAAATTGCATCTTTGGTTTGAGTTGTGTATTTACATTTTGTTCTAGCAGTTATCCAAGTCTAAGGAAGAGTTGGTGGTGTGTGCTGCCACAAACGTGTAGGCTTTCACGCTCGCGATCAGCAATATATAATTCACAATGAATGATGCAATTGCAATGCTTTCGAGCTTTATCTAGTCTAAAGAACATGTTTATTGGTAGAAAAGGTGGCTGTTTGTATTGTATGTTTATTTGTTTTGAGATGATGTATATAATGTACTTTGCAGGGACAGTTTGTTCGTTTAGTGTGTGAATGTTAATGAATGTCCTATTGTTTACAATGGACTCTTTATCTTGACCTCTTGGTTCTGACCATCTTACCTCTCACCGTTCACTGTCTCTCGCGGCTAACGTAACCAACTGACAGGAGGGAACATCCCCATACACTTGGCTCCAATTGTTGTCTGAATTGAATATTTGGTACACTGGTAAATCAGTGTCAGAGAGAGGAAGCCTGTGAGGATTTTAATTATGCCCTTAGCCATTGCCTGCTATCCGTATGTCACCCATCCAGTGCTGGCGAGGCCTACTGTGTTTGAACGTGACTGACCAAGTGACTTGCACAAATCATAAACTATGTTACACATTTAGTGCACATAAACATATAAAAAATGACTCAACGTGCGACTTCTATTTAAAGAGTAATTTTTGTTTTTACACAAGGCAGAAGGCTTCTGACTCTTGTCATCAATCTTAAGAGTTGTTCTTTGAATATATCATTTAAACCTACTAGTTTTCCCTGAAACGCGACCCGCCAATATGCTTACAACTAAATCCTTATTTACTACTGGATGCACAGGGGCACACAGCTAAGGTTCAGTGCCCCAGTTGACCCTCCCCACGCGAAGGTCGAATTCGGCCGTAATTGCTTGCGCGCGCTCTACTCCCATACCACAACTCCCTAAAGGCAGATGATGGGAAGACTATATCTGCCAAAATGACCTAAAGCGCAATCGGTTCACAACCTATTACTCCCGGGTTCGATTTCCGGAAAGGACGAACGTCCTTTATGAACGTCTAAAGCCTCCGTCCACCCAGCAGCAAATAAGTTGCCAGAGGTAGGCGACTGTTGTTTTCATTGTTGCCGTCGGAGGCGGCTAGTTTATTGTGCACCCTATACTCATCATGTTAGCAGTAGCGCAAAGAGCATTACAGAGGGCACGAAAGGTCTTTATCAGACCTCAACGGAGATTATTACACTGTTGTGGGGGGTTACATCCTGGGGTATGGTCAGTCGTTAGTCAGGAGGACAGACAGTAGAAACACATACTTGTCAGCTTCGGGTTTAGGCTCCGTATGGAAAACAACACTCAATAGACCACAAAAAAATAGAAGCAAGTTTAAGCTAAATTTAATACGAGGCTGGTTAGCATGACAGCATCTATGGAAGTGACAAGCATAATATGTTTCTATACATATAATTGTATCAATGTGATAGAAAGGTACCTTGCGAAGAAACTTTCTTAATGACTTGTGATCTTGTCGTGAATGAGTTTTGGGTGAAAATATAAGATTTGCAGTGTGTTTATTTATTACTTTTAAGATTCAAATACAATAAACCTTTCCTGAAGGATCAAAAGATGAAAAGGAGCTAAAGACCAAGATTAAATAGCTTAGCGCAACATAATATTAACACATAAATGTGTATTAACACATATTTGTACTATCTTCAAAATACAGCCTAGCACCTAAGGTGGAAGAAGTTGGATGTGGCGAAAGTTATATGTTAGGAAGATACTGTATTGTGATTGGTCGTGTGATATTTTTAATGTGTAATTATTTAATATCTATAACATTTTTTTGCTATAGTACTGACTTCTTTCTTATGGATTGATGTCTCCTCACTACATGAAAGTGGAAAACGGGGTAATGATACGTATTACAGAATATATATGTATATATATATATATATATATGTTTCAAATAAAGCCTTTATATTACATATTACAAGTTTCAAATAAAACCATTCCTTTACATACAAGTCTCAAGAAAAGTCAGTATATCACATGCTTAAGTCTGAAGATGAGTCATCAAGTCATCACTTACATACAATTAATGATTACTAGTAGATCTGACTGATCAAGTCGCAACATCCCTACAGATTCCCTCCAGATTTTCTCACACGGACCTCTTTACTGGGCTCCTATTCACCCTCTCAGCTACCCTATACAACGTTGCTCTCAAATGTCTTTTTTTCAAGCTCTGCTGATTCCGACCGACTGTCACGACTCTCATCCACTTCCATTCACCAACGTTTTGCAATACATAACTACACCAGTTTATATTGTTTAACATTTGTCATAACTGTTAATATTACAAGTAATTTGCAAGGTTGACATTTATCTCACCCACAAGTGTGTATAGGCAAGTTTGTTATATAAACGTATAAAGACCTAAAAGTGTGTAAATAAACTTATCAAATAATAATATATGCATTTGGAACAAACTACAGCAGCCAATGCTACTAACCAAGTAATACCAACGATTTCATCACGAACATAGGAACACGTGAAAATGCAGAATGTAATAAAGGCAAAGTATTTGTAGCATCGCAAATCACTGTCAATTCAAATGCATTTATTAACATGAATCCCCAATTGATTAACCACTTTGAAAAAAAAATCACTGTCTAATAATCGTGTGAAATGAAACTTTCTCTGAAACTGGTGTTACATCTTCCAACACCAAAACACGACTACAAAATGTACTGAAAACATCTACCAACACCAAAACACGACTACAAAATGTACTGAAAACATCTTCCAACACCAAAACACGACTACAAATGTACTGAAAACATTTTCCAGCACCAAAACACGACTACAAATGTACCGAAAACATCTTCCAGCACCAAAACACGACTACAAATGGACCGAAAACATCTTCCAGCACCAAAACACGACTACAAATGTACCGAAAACATCTTCCAGCACCAAAACACGACTACAAATGTACTGAAAACATCTTCCAGCACCAAAACACGATTACAAAATGTACTGAAAGTACTCACCAAAATCATTTAAAAATACAACGACAAATCCCTCCACGGGAGTTCAACCTAGTAAGAATACCAAAACCGCCACTTGCTCGCTCACAGCATGAGTATGAGGTATACAAATCTGCAACTAATTCTTTGTCACTGGAAGATGGACGAGTTAGGGAAAGACACGATTACCCCCTACAAAATTATCAGAGGAACTGACAGGAAAGATAAAGACAAACCATTGTAGTACGGTTCGAGAAACACAAACAAGGAGACAGGTGGAAACTTAGTACCCAAATGAGTCAGACACATCAGAGAATTTCTTCAGTGTCAGAGTAGTTAACAAATCGAATATATTAGGAAGTGATGTGGTGGAGGCAGACTTCATACACAGTTTCAAATCTAGATATGATACAGACGATTAGGCTCAGGAGACTGTACACTAGTTGATTGACAGTTGAAAGTCGAGACCGAAGAGCCAGAGCTCAACCCCCGCATGCATAATTAGGAGAGTTCAATAAGCTACCGTTCACATAATGGGTATGTGGTGCACAATAAACTTCCGTTCACATAATGGGTATGGGGTGCACATTAAACTACCTCCTCCCCCCCTCAGAATGAGTTTGCGGTGCACAATAAGCTGGTCCCAGTTGGCGGTAATAATCAACACACACCACTAAATAAGTCCCAGAAGAACACACATTTCAATCGTCTACCTTATTCGACTAAAAATAACTAAATTTTCTTTGAGTACATGATTTTTGCATTAAGAGAAAATATAAACATTGAGTGTAACATGGGGTACTAAACTATTCATGCCAACCGCATGTATTTTGAGATTTTTTGAGATATATACAAGAATTGTTACATTCTTGTACCATTTGATATTATTTGTACTTGATATTCTAATTTAAGATAATTAAAATTGAATTTCGTCAAAATCTGGTCCTGGGTTTGATTCTTTGTCAGAACGAGACATTTGGACACGTTTCCATGCACTCAACTACCTTACAGTAAATAGGTACCAGGGATTTAGGTGACTTATTGCAGGTATCCTGGCCCGAGAGGATTTACTGGGTGCAAATCCTTAACTGTAGCCTCTGTTTAACCCAACAGTAAAATGGGTACCTGGTTGTTAAATGATTCTTCGTGGGGTCGTATTCCGGGGACCATAGGATTAAGGATTTGCCCGAAACGCTACGCGTACTAGAATGTAAGAAAAAACTCTTGTATATATAAATAAAGGTTATTCAGCCCGTTAGGAGACTCGAATGCTGTAATTCCCTCATCTACACGGCTCAAGGCTCTATTAACTTTATTCGGCACCTACTAGCATTAAATAGCTTACAATTAAATAGCAACGTGATTGTCTCCAAAGCCAGACAGATATATGGATATTTAATAAAAGGAGTCAAAGTTAAAATGTTGTGTATCTCCTCTCACATTGAACTGCATGATAAAGTTCATGCCCTTGTTAAGTTTGCAGAAAATAAAGAAATGTTAAACATAAACTTGGACTGTCAAACAGAACCCTTAAAAGTGTCATAAAAAGAGAACTCGTAGATGAATTTAAAGAAAGTAGAATAGTGCATAACAGGAACTGGCAGACCCATTGTTCATCAAAATGAGATGTGTCAAACAAAAAAATATGTATAGGGCAAGTAATAAAATCAGCAAACTAACGGACGTTGTCACAGCTCGAATACGACTCGGCTACAAGTATCCCTGGCAGTTCGGTTTGTATAGGGATCTGTATGTAGTAAAGTGTAAAGTCTGTGGACCAAGACAGAGACTACACTAGAGCATTATATCTTAGGACTGAAAATTTTTTGCCATTTAAGAGATAGATCTAAACACACGCTGCATGAAATAGCAAACCATCTTATTACAATGAACAAATCCACAATGGCCGTGACGAGGGTCACGGCCCTCCTTGATCACGTTATTGTGATTTCTGTGTGTAGCATCTTATTACAAATTATAAAATACCTGAAATCCTTGCACTGTTCCCCCTATTTCGCTTCTAATAGATTAATGGCATTCGAGACTAATGAATAAGCGGTGAGGTGTGAAGACTAATAACAACAAACAGCCTTAATAACTCTCAAGAGGTTGATAATCCTTAAGCCCAACACCAGCCACAACCTACCTTGGCTCATGTCCAAATCTACCTCAAGGTGAGGTAATTACGAGGAGAAAGTGCTAAGCCAGTATGACTATAACACTTTAAAATGGGAGTTGGGGGACAAGAAGGGAGGATATGAGTAACGGTGGCCAACGACTTCGACCACCAGGAATCGAAAGTCAACCTAACAAAACGAGACCTTTGCTGTATCGACTAGTCCAAGCAAGATATCTACCGCCAGGGGTCCGCTATTATTAGATAGTCCTGGTGAAGGACTCAGGACAGCTGTCAAGCGAGGCCACTGCGTCACAGGTGCACGCTCAATCATCCAATCACGCGGTTTGCGTTAGCTATTCTGTTATTACTTCAAGGCTGTCATTATCATACTGTTTTGGTATGAATAAATGTGAATATTATGGTTTGGGTTTAATATATGAAATATATAATATATTAATGGACACGATACTGTAAATAAATATGTTAGATACATCACAAAAATAGCACAAACACAAACCACGCCACTTAACGATACAGGTATATAATTTAGAGGGTTTTGTTTGCTTGTACATAAAGATGAATGATTTTTCAGGCATTTTTTATGTATATAAATCTTAGCATATATATGGAAAAAGATAAACTATAGTACCAATCTACAAAATTGGCAGCAGAGAAGACCCTCATCACGCTATTGTGATTTCTGTGTGTAAAACCCTCTTATTTATAGACCTGTATCGTTGACTAGCGTGGTAGTCAAAACACGAGAACAAATAATTAAAACATATGTGCAGAACACTGGAGAGAAATGATAAAATGATGAATGATCTTCCTGTTTTCCGAAAAGAAGATCCTGTGCAAAAAATCTATTTAATTTCTATGATAGAGCTACAGAGATTCTACAGTAAATAAATGGGTGGTTTAACTGCATCTATGTGGACTTAAGAAAAGGGTTTTGGCAGTCCCACATAAGAGGCTGTTCTTGAAACTGGGACATTGTGGAGGAGTGACAGGGATACTTCTGACATGGATGAAAAACTTTGACAGAAAAAATAATGAGCAAGATAATCAGAGGTTACTGGTATAGTACCTGGAGAAATGTTACTGGTGTAGTACCACTGAGGGCCTGTTCAAGCACCAGTTCATTTTTTTACCCTTATATAAACAATCTACCAGAAGGATTACATAATTATATTAACATGTTTGCTGATAATGCCAAGCTACTCGGGAAGATAAGAAATTTAGACAATTGTCATGCCCTTCAAGAAGACCTGGACAAATAAGTGTATGGAGCAATCTTGGCAAATGGAATTTAGTAATAATCAATGCAATGTTATAGAATGTTGAATAGGAGAAAATAGGCCACACACAACCAACAAATTATGTGATTTTTTTTTTAATTCTGATAAGGGAAACAATCTACAGGCGGTTCTGAAGAGAAAAATGCCACCTGAGGACCACATAAAGAACATTGTGCTGTGAGAGTAGGAGTCACACATGGGAGATTTAGCCTGTGCCAGTAATGGACACCTGAGGGACAGACCAAAAGGCGTCCTTGTGGGATGTGTGAAAACGACAGGCGATCACATGTTGGGCCAGAGACCTCTCCAAATCCTTGGACTCTGACTTATCTTAATGTTCAATAATCATTTGCATATTTCAACACTGACTCTAATTTTGGTATGAAAAATTTTCAGCTAGGGTGTGCGTGATTAATTAAATAAACTATTATTCAATTGCAACCCCTTCAATTCTATGAGTAACAAAATGCTATCCTGTTTGATATATGGAGATACGGATTACCCTGGTACGTGCGGGGAAGCGGGGGGAGCATCAGTGC